TACTCTGCCATAAAATACAGTGAACTGTGTAAAGGAATGATTAGTGTTGCAGTTACCCTTTGACCCTGACATGTAGTTTTGGATCTATTCCCAACATTTCTGTTTTTAAACTTTTGTACCAACAATACTCTTCTTTATTCATGAAGTCATTTTTTATAAATGATTGATTACATATATATTTAAATATATCTAGAAAGAAGAGGGATGTTGCTTATCACACACAAATGGCTCTTAGAGAGTTACTGGTTTTGTGCCAGGGCTGTCAGCTTTTCAACAGATTGGATTGGTTAATGAAGAAGCAATAAATAGCCTATCAGCAAGCATTTATACAGATATTAATGAAATTAAATTTCTATTTCTGTAACATATGCCAAAATACAATTGTATTTGTGAGGTGATGCAATAACTTCTTTTAATAAACATGCATAGACCATTTGTGCTTTATAATCTAAATTATATTCTCAGTGTTTCTAGCATCAGATACACAGAATCAGCCATTTATCAACATTACCAAAAATATTTCTATCCTTTAAGAGTTTTTCTCACCATACACATCTTCCACAAGCTTTCTGTAAGACATGAACTCACCTCTATCCATGAAACCAAGAATATTTCATTACATTATCAAGATAAGCCATTAAGGAAAAAGAATATAATGATGGGAAAGTTGCCATATGTATTAAAAATGTAAACAATTAACTCCTTTTTGTGTGTGTATGCCTTAAATGATAATTGAATCTTAATCTACCTCAGTATAGGCTATTGAGGTAGATTAAAATTTTAAAAAGCTGATTTGTTTAAGCATATGGATTTAATGAAAACTTTTATTCTGCTATTCATGGAAAAAAGAATACTATTTCCACTAATTAAAAAAAGGGCTTCATTTCTTTAGTGAACTTAAAGCTGAACTGCTTTCCCATAAGATTATTTACATGATGAACATTTTATTAAATAGTCTTATCTTAAGGAGTATTTTTTAAAAAATTTGCTACCTTTAATTGTCAACTTTTATCCAAATCTAATTCTGACTTTCAGAGCAGAAGTTTCTATTATAAAAATTAACTTACCAAGTTTAGATGTGTTTTCCTCTGCAATGCACATGAGCTGCATGCAATAAATATCTACATTCTCAGACCACCTGACAGAATATTAATACACTTTGACAATAATTCATTTATTTCAGAAAACAAACTAATATTTGTTGAGCCCTATCAATTTTGTACATTTTGTATCTTTTGGAAGGGGCAAACCTTGCCTAATTTTAATATGGTGTTAAAAGATTAGAAAACGTATTCCAAACAATGGGATTTCTTAACTGAGATCTGAAGTAGGAACAGTTGTTAGCCTGGTGAAGTGAACAATCCATACATAGACAAGCAGAGTGTAAAGGCCAATAGGCAAAACGGAGTGTGGTTCTTTGGATAATTACAATATATCTGGGTGACTGGATCAGAAATCTAACAGATATATCTGAAGATATAAACCAAAGCCTGTATGGGATGTAAGAAAGCTTTGAACATTATCCAACGGCAATAGAGAACTATTGACGTGGTTAAAAATTATGAAATAGACTTGGCTTTAGGAAGATCATTTGCAGTATGCAAACATATAGCTGGAAGCAAGACAAAAGCAAAAAGGCCAATGAAAAGGCTGTTATAGTAATCCAGAAAAGAGATGATTGCAGCTTGAACTAAAATAGTGGTAGTGGGGATGCAGGTGACTTGACAGATTCAAAATAACTTAGGAGGTAAACGATGGAGTTAGAGGATGAAGAAGAATGAAGGTTTATGATGACATCCTGGTTTCTGAGTTGTACATTAATGATGGTGTTACAATTTCAGGAAACCTGGAAAAAAGGTTGGATGATAAATATGAGTTCAACTTTTGGACATAATTGGTTTGAAATGTCTGTGGAAACCAGGCTATGAATGCAGAAGGAGATAGGAAAGAGGATAGAATTTGAGTGAATAGAACCATCCAAGGAGAATATAACCTAAAAATATGATAAGGCCGGGAGAGAATCCCAGAAAGAGCCTGGGGAGTGAATAGGGGCTGAGGAGGAAAGGAAGACCTTGAAAGAAATTGCAGATTAGACTAGAGGGCAGAGAAGAAACAACACAGTGTAATGTCAAAAGGACAAATATTGAATGAGACCACTGTTGTAAAAAGCCAAGAAAAGGATTTCACAAAAAATTCTTTGACAATTACCAGGGGTAGGTGGAAAAGGGAGGGTAACCACTAACTAGAGAATAAACACATACTAACTTCGGTGAGGGAAAAAATAAAATATGTAATTTAAAAAAATCCAAAGGAAACAAGCTTTAAAAGGAGCAAGGAGTGGACATCAGTGTACAATACTGTGGAAGAGTCAAGTAAGATAAGAATACTTAAAAGTTAAGAATTCTTAAGTATTCAAAGTATTCTTAACTTAAGTATTCAAAGATTTAGCAGTTTTGGAGATGCCAGCGTGAAAGATTTCAGTGAAATGGTGTGTGGAGGAAGCCATATTCCAGTGAGATGGCAAAAATGGGAGGTAAGTCAAACAGATAATGAGTTTTGTTGGTATTTTAAGAAGCTTATCTGACTAAGGATGGATAGAGAGAGAAGACTGTTTTGTTTTTTAAAGTAAGACTTAAGTATGTAAAAAAAAAAAAAAAAAAAAGGAAAGGAGCTAATTTTGAAAGGGACTGAAAACACAGGAGAAAAGGGAAGGGTGAGGGAGAGAGACCCTACAGTATTTGGAAGTGTTAAGATCCAGAGAAAAATTGAGAATATTGGGCTTATGAAGAAGGGTACTTCTTTAATTTTAATAGATGAAAAAGATATCTTTGGATGCATATCACCACACACATGCCTACTCCTGCATGTTCAAAATGAGCCTGTAGTGAGGGAGGGGCAATGACAATGAAAAGGAATCCTTCAAGTTTATCCACCCGATTTTAGCAGTGTGTTTGTCCTATTTCTTACTGAGCCCATGCCAATCTATCAATCTATGTCTTAGGGGTAAAATGGTTAAGATGAATTGGAACCTTACAGTGAAATCTCTCCTTTGCTTAGTAATTGTTGTTTAAAACCTAGGCTGGGTTCTGAAGTAAAACCACTTAGGATTTATGGGGTGTTATTACAGAATTGAGGAAAACTTTCCAAAATGAGTACTTTAAAAAGTGCCTAACAATAAAGTGACGGTTGTAAGTATTTCTCACTATTTTAAAACACAGAAAGACAAAGATTATTGTTATCTTTAACTAATTGTATACTTGTTACAACAGGATTCTCTAAATATTAAGGGGCTAGGTCTGTTTTAGCAGTGGGCTCAGTTAATTATCAGGGTCCCTGAGTCCTCAGTATTTTTTATCACGGGGCTCATGAGTCAAACATCTGGCCTGATGCAGCCAAGAAAGCCAGGGCTCTGCTGGAGAAGAGACTTAGTGCTATTTAGTACCTGAATGTGGCAATGCCAATTTTTTTCCTTTATTTAGTTTCTATATACCATTACATGTTAATCAAAATGATGTCTGGACATAGATTCAATGGTCAGCCCTCACATGTGAATAATTATTCCTTTAATTATAGCAGACAAGGAATGGTTGACTTGAATTCGAGATGCAAAGGCTGTGGCTATGTTAGAAACATAAAATGGCATGAGAGTAACAGGAATTTAACTTTACCAAGAACACAAGAGTTTAGAGAAACAATACCTCCTGATTTTTAGCTTTCTTGAGAACTGGATCCAATGTCTCTTTTGATTGGAAACTAAATTCATTTTGCTAATTGCAACAGCAACTTTGTAGGGAAAAACACATAGATTTACATAGATTTTTCATCCTCAACATATTTAAAATAACAAATACTAACTTGTGTGTATACATGTGAACATGTTTATGCACATACACCAAGCATTCAAAACAGGTCTTATAACTTCATTTGATTTCCAAATAACTTGTAAATATAATAATATGTCCTAAGTAAAGAAATCTATTGTGAAAAAATGTTTTACATTAATGAAATTATGTTTTAAATACCAGATTATAAGCTGTAGAATTTATGTGAGAAAAATTAACATGATTCCATTTTCAAGAGGTATTTCTTTCTGGTGTATTTTCAATCAAGCCTACAAATCTAACAAGTCCCTAAAACATGGTGATGACACCAAACAAGAAGCAGTCCGAAAGACCATGAAGGAAGGCTCTAAAATAGTAGATATTCCATGTAACTCTGAAAAAACATGAGATTGAGATAGCAGTATTTGCAGATTTTTTTTTTCTAAGCACAGCATATGTACAATAATTTCTACATGTAGAATATTAAGGTGGAGTTCTTCTTTTTTGCTATCTTATTTAATTTTATATCTGTTACCTTGTATTGTTACCTGGAAGGAGCCCTGGTGGGACAGAGGCTAAGAGCTTTGCTGCTAACCAAAAGGTTGTGTGTTCATACCCACTAGCCACTCCTAGGACAAGTATGTGACAGTCTGCTTCCATAAATATTACAGCTTGGAAACCCTATGGGGCAAGTCTACTCTGTCTGACAGGATCGCTATGAGTCAGAATTGACTCAATGGCAATAGGCTATCTTACCTGATATAATTTCTTATTTTTCCATAGTCATCTTCACTGATATGCTTTCTCTCCACCTTTGAAATGGCTTCTTTGGCATGGAGATAGTGGAAAGGTAGTGAATAGACATTCTTTTTATATTATAAATATAAACACAAATAACCCACTGATTTTTCTAATCAAGACATTGAAACAAAAAACCTATAAAATGGTGATTGCATTTAAAAAAAAAGTAATTTCTTTTTAAAATAGGTGAATTTGAAATTAAATCAAGAAAAATTTTTATTTGCAAGTAATTAACAGTATTTTTCTTACAGATGGTTTATCTTCCATAAATTAGCCTGCTAGTTCTTGTTGTTTCTTGTGATAAAATTGTTAGCCTTCTTAAACTGTTGGCCAAACCTTGATCTATTTAAATAACATAGTACCATATTTCTTCCCTAGGTAAGGAAGAAGAATTTATCCACAAGGTTACCACTGAATATGAAAAAATGGAAAGAAGTAGAGAATATACATACCAATGGCTTCACACACAGGTTGGGGTTCATGAAACAACTAGTTCCAGAAATATGAAATGGTGAGGTCATTTCCTTTAAATTAGATTTTTGTATTGTAAACATACCTTGAAAAGTGAAACCTAGGTTAATTGTGCTAAAACAAACATGACTTTATAGCCCATGGCCCATGAACTAGGTTGCCAGGTTATAAAAAGGCCTCCTCTATAGAATAGATTTAATCGCTCTTTATATTTTTCACCCTGAAATAATCAGAGAGAAGCCTATTTCTGTAATGCATGAAACCAAAAGATGAACCACACAAATGATTTCTGTTCTAAAAAGTAAAGTGAATGGTATCCATTAACTATTTTCAAATAGCATATGTATAAGTAATAGGCTGTATTTTGTTTTAGTTTTTATTTACATGTATAAATTGGCATTTAAAATTATAATTCAACCTTGTAGCTGTCACTTTAGCAGTCATGTAACTCATTTTCAGTGGTGTCTCAAAGCTTCTGTTTTCTCTCCTTTATAGTGAGATGATAACATCTCATCTACCTCTTAGGGTTGAGATAACTCACGGCATTGTAGATACCACATAGCAACAAACTGGATGCTTTATGGGAGCTCTGATAGGATAGTGCCTAAGGCACTTGACTGCTAACCAGAGGCTGGCAGTTCAAACCCACTAGCCACTTCTCGGAAGGAAGGTTGGGCAATCTACTATCCCTAGTGATACTGCCTCGGAAACCCAAGGAGGGGTCGTTATGAGTTGGGTCTGACTTGAGGGCAAATAACAACAACAACAACAATAGATGCTTTATACCTAATAGATGCTCATTTAATTTTATTTTTACATTGATGTACTATAAAACATATATGTGCATAACCACTAAATCAAAATTTTAAGTAAATAAATGTCCAGAGATATTTCTGACATAAATTTTCAAGACTTTCATTTTAACTATATGAATGCACAAAACAGTATGAAACTGTGCTATTTTAGGCATCTATTAACTATGTAAACCAATATTAAATCTGAATTTAGATAACACTTGGAAACACTTTGGAAATGTTTCTAGGCATTGTGGGTAATAACTACTTTACCTAAGTAAGAAACAAACAAAAACCTGTAATTATTATGCTCAAAACTTAAACAATATATCAAACTATGTAACAAATGAAACCTCATTTCATAATACATATGAATAGATACCATTAATTTTATCCATGTAGTCCCTTTAAAAATGTGGTAATCATATGAAAGCAGGAATGAAAATGAAATTGACACAATATTTTATAATTTGAATCGGTATGTCATATTTTATTGTGAGCAAGGAAAGTAGGAGAAAAGTCATCAGTGTTTGAGAATTTCTTTTATGAAATATTCTACTTTATGCAAGCATACTTTCTTACATATTTGATACTAATCCATTTAGCTTAACCCATAGGATAGCATCCTTAGAACTATGAACAATATAATAGAATTATAGCTTACCATCTGTATTAACCAGATACAGAAGGTCTAATTCAGAGATATAAAAGCATTATTATAGATAATGTGAAAAATAAAAGATTTTTCTGGATGAATTTTAGATATACTTAAGCATTTAAAAATCCTTAATCTTAAATAAGTTGTATTTTGACATATGATGCAACAAGCAATTGTTTATGGCTTTTCTCTTTGAAAATATAATTTATCAAGTAATAAAAAAAAACAGCCAACCAACCCAGTGCCATTGAGTCAATTCCAATTCATGGCAACTCTATAGGACAGAGTAAAACTGCCCCAAAGGGTTTCCAAGGCTGTAAATGATTATGCAAGCAGACTGCCTCATCTTTCTCTTGCATAGTAGATGGATAGGTAGTAATATTTTAAGGCGAATTATTTACAAAAATAAAAAGTTCTTGCAAAGCCAAATGTTAACATTATGGTTTTGTATAGAAGTTAACTGTGGACATTAGTATACATTCAATACACTGAGCTATTTTTAAAGTAAGAAGTTTTACCTTTCTCAAAAGACAAATAAGGGATGTAAGTAAATGTAAACAAATATTTAATTTTTCTAAAGTGCTTGGTAAAGTAGAGGGTCAGTGCAAAAAGGAATGATCCTCAAAAAGATGGATTGACAAGCGGCTGCAAGGGTGGGCTCAAGCATGGCAGCAATTGGGAGCGTGGCCAGGACCAGGCAGTGCTTTGTCCTGCTGCACACAGGGTTGCGACTAGTTAGAGCCAACTCAACTTCAACATAACATCAAAAACAATTTAAAGCTGTCATTCATATTTTCGCCTTTTATGTGTGTTTATGTTTGGTGAAGAACCCAAACCAGAAAAACCAAGCTCACTGCCGTCAAGTCAGACCCGACTCATAGTGACCCCTCCTTGGGTTGCCGAGGCGGTATGACTATGGAAGTAGATTGCTCAACCTTCCTTCCGAGGAGTGGCTGGTGGGTTTGAACC